GTCCTGCCGGATCGGCTGGCACTGAGGGCAAAATAGCCGTCGAGATTGTCAGGGGGCGATGGCTGGACTCCCTTTGATTCTTGGCCGCCTCCCCAAAGTTGATTCTCATGGCTGGGGGAGTCTGCTGCCCTTTGAAAAGGAAAGTCTGTCACCCCCCCCTTTCCCCAAGACATGCACCCTCCCGCGACCCCCTCCCCCAAACACGCTATATACACACACAGGCCACCCCTCAGAGGCGTGGCTGGGCTCTCAGAGGTAGTGGAGAGTGGGGGCGCTGGAATGTGAGAGACTGCAGGTCCCAAATATGCCCCCTCCAGCTCCGAAACCCCAAACTTCTCCCCTCCCTTCTCCAAGCCTCGAGAATGAGCGTCCTCCCAAGGGCCTGAGTGGAGAAATCAGGGAAGGTGTGTCCCCCTTTGTGCTCGCGCGCGCCTGTCCCTCCCCTCCCCCCTCCCTGGGGGGCTGAGCGGAGCTCCCTGAAGGTTGGGGAAAGGGCGCATCAGCCCCCTCCAAGGGCCCCCCAGGGAGGGCTGAGCTCTGAGGCCCCGGGGCACACCGGTCGGTCCACGGTGGTGGGGGTGGGGTTCTCTGGAGGACGGTCCCGGCTGGTGTCTAGGGAGAGGCGGCGGATTCTCTGGGGTCGCCGAGGGGAGGTCCGTGGGGAGGGGCCTCGGCGCGGAGGTTTCCCGGGGGCGGGCCGGAGTCGGGGTGGCTGGTAGGGGACCGGGGAGGCTCCGGGGCAGGGAGGGGCTGCTGGGGGGCCGCTAGAAGCCGCGGATGTGGCAGTAGGCCTCCAGGCTGGCGAACAGGATGTAGAGGAGCCAGAGGCCCAGGAAGAGCGCGGTGGTGGCGATCTTGGGGCCGCGCGGGCCGCCCAGCTCGCCGCCGATGTGCGGCCGGCGCCGGTACAGCAGCACGGCGATGCCCACGAAGGCGAAGACGGTGAAGAGCGTGACGGAGAAGGCCAGCGTGCCGGTGCGCACCTCGAAGGGGCGGCCCTGCACCGCCCAGTACACGGCGGCCACCGACCAGGCCACGCCCAGGCCCAGGAACACGTTCACCGCGTTGGAGCCGGTCACGTTGCCGATGGACGCGTCCGCGCACTGGTCCTGCAGCGCCGCCACCTTGCTGGCGAAGGTGTCTGCGGGGCGGAGGCACGCGGTCAGAAGGGCGGGGCCTGCCTGCCGTTAACACCCGCACTCTCCTCGCGCCCCGGGGACCCAGGCCCCGCCTCCCACCCCTGCAGCCCCGCGCGTCCTGGGGTAAGGGCTCGAGACGGGGCCCCACCCACGAGGCAAAGTCGGTCGCCATCCCCACACCTGCTCTCTACAGGACCGACCGCCTGCCTTCTGCACAGCACGGTGCCTTATTTCCATGGGACTCACTCCCTGCTTTATTAGGTGCGACTTGTCTACATTCACTGGGCTTCACTGCCTGCCTTCTGTGGGACCCGCTGCCTGCTTTCGGTGAAGCTCAGTCTACTTTCTGTGGGACCCACCTCTGCATTCTGTGGAGCCTGCTGCCTGCTTTCCATGGGAATCACTGTTTCCCGTGACCCCACCACCTGTTTTTCTACGAGCCCAGTCATCCCATTGCTACCAGGCTGGACAAAACAAGTGTTAGGATCCACCTATATGCAACCCCTTTCCTGTCCACTCCCCAAGTGGTTTCTGCCAAGCAATGTCTGGTTTCTATGGCCCCCACCCATTCCCGGACATCTCGCTAATAACTCAGGCCTCTGGTCTAGGGGGCAGGCATCAGGCAGCCAACCATTCCCACACGGTTGCTTTCAACTGGACCCACCCCCTGCTTTCTAGGCGGACAGCGCCACCAACTGACTGATGTGGAAACAAAGGCTGGGCTCCCCACCCACCTGGTCTCCCTATTCCTGTAGGGATTTCAGCCACCTGGTTTCTAAGGGACTCTCACCCGGGCTTATTTGGGAAGAGGCGATCATGGTCATTGTGTTTCGATGGGACATAAGCTATAGTCTCTGAAACCCCACTATCTTATTTCTATGGCACCCCCTCCTTCAACCTTGATTTCTACTCTGTTCCCTCATCTTTTTTTTTTAAACTTCAAAATTCATTGGCCTGGTTCCTATCATGCCCATCAACATAATTCTATGGAACCTTCCATCTGGTTTCTTGGCGGGGGCAAGGGGAGAGAAAGGGAAATTAATATCTTGTTTCTATGCAATCCATCGTCAGGCTTCTACCATTTCCCACCTCCTTAGTTCTATGGATCACTCCACCTGGTTGCTTTGGGGAATCCACTCACACAGTGAATCTATGGGACCCCACCTAGTTACTATTATACGCCACCAGCATATTTTTCTGGGACCCACCACACGAGTTCTACATGATTCCACCACCTTATTTCTGCAGGACCTTTCTCTTAGGCTTCACTGCCTGACTTCTCTGAGACCCTACCCTGCTAGGCCATCTCCCAGGGGGTTACCGGGGATAGAGGTGCCCAGGGCCACGAAGACCACAGCGTTGACGGAGTCCTTGAGGCCAACAGTGCAGCCAAAGTGGGAGGCAAGGTCCCCGATGAGGGCGGTGAGCAGGCCAATGACCAGGATGCAGACACCGAAGCAAGCCCAGCCGTGGCAGTACTCAGTGGGGGGCACGCAGGCGAACAGCACCTTCCAGAACACCGTCAGGAAGTGCATGACGTAGTCAAAGCACGAAGGCAGCCGCTCCTCCCGGGACCCGTCCTCCTCCTCCTCCTCGTCCCCTGTGGGCACACGACCCAGCTGGGGCACACACCCATGCCTCCTTCCTCGCCTAGAGCCCCATTGTGTTCAACTTCCAGAGAGCCAATCCCAAAACATAAAATGAATTATTTTCTCAGAATCCCTTGCAGCTAGGAGAATGTATAGGCCCAGGTAAAAATATTTACTTTCCCAGAATCCCTTAAAGCTACAGGAGGCCATACACCCAGCTAAAATTATCCAGCTTCCCAGAATCCCTTGCTGCTAGGGGTGGCCATATCCCTACCTAAAAATATTCCTTTTCCCAGAAGCCTTTACAGCCACTGATAGCCATGTAGAAATATTCACAGGTAGAAATATTCTGCAGGTAGAAATATTCAGTTCCTTTGATTGCAGCTAACACTAGTCACATGCTTAGCTAAAGGTACTCAGTTTCCCAGAATCCCTTGCAGGTAGACAGCTATGTACCCAGCTAACATTAGTCACTCCCCCAGAATCCCTTAAGGCTAGCAACAGCCTTGTCCTCAGGTAAAAATTTCACTCTCCCCAAATTCCTTGCAGCTAGCAGTCCTAAGCTAAGTACTTGCTTTCCCAGAATATCTTGCAGCAGTGGCCGTGTGACCCAGTCTGGCAATGAGGCATAGATGGAGGGTTTCTGGAAAGCTCTAGCTTTCCTGATAGGGGTACTGTGTTGTGGATGTGTTTTCTGAGCTTCATAAAGGATGCTTCATCCTTAGAGTTGTATGTGCCACCTGTTGTGACCAAATTTGACCCGCTTTTGACCTGCAGTGACTTGTGTAATGGGAAACCTCAGATGACATGTTGTCCACCTCGCCCTACACTGACAAGCACAAGGCAGTGAAAGAAAAGCAATGAGCACGCTTGAGTGTGCCAAGCACTACATCTGGAAGGATGCTGATAAGAGACACTGCAACCCCTGACCAGTCACTCAGAACAAGCCAGGGAATAAAAGCCAGGCCAGCCACCAAATTAGGAAGCCACTTCCCAGGTTCGATCCAAGGGCCCCTCAGAGTGTCAGTGACAGAGGATACCCGGTGGCAGTGGAGGCAATGAGAGACTGATAGATTCAGGGATTCAGGTCATATATTCCTTTCCCACTTTTCTTGGCCACTTGGCTTGTTAAAGAAATAAATGCTTGAATTTGTAAATTCTTAACTAAGTGGTTTGTGTGTTTTTTTGGTTCTGCATGTTACATCTCAAAGATGAGGTCTTTCCTGTGACCCCAAGGAAAATGGAATTGGAAATTCAACGGGACAGGCGTGCTGCCCCTTCCTGATCCCCTGCTTCCTTTCTTCCTGCCTGGAACATAGAATCAACACCTGGAGGTGCAGCAGCCATCTTGCAACCATGAGGGCAAAAGCTGAGAAACGGAAAGATAAACAAAGAAGGGGCTTGGGCATTTAATGACATTACTAAGTTGCTGCTGTTGCCTCCTGCAGATTTTTTTTTCTCCTGTGAGAAAAATAAACTCTAGTGTGCTTAAGCCACTTGCGGTTGAGTTTCTGTTGTTTACCACTGATTACACCCCTGAGACATGGCTAAGGTCAGAGAATAGAGGGCACACTCTCCTATTTCCATTTGAAGGCTCAGCTCAGAAGCCTCCTCCTTCAGGAAGCTCTCCCTGACCTTCCAGCTGGGTCAGACACTCCTGCAACTTCCTCAGGTTCCCATCCGAGCCCTGCCCACTCTGGGTTGTCACTCTCTGTGACAGGTCTGTCTCCCACACTGGACTGTGAGCTCCACGAGGACAGGGCCTGAGCTGTCATGGTCATCTCTTTGTCCCCCCAATGTCCTGCACAGGGCCAGGGCCAGGGATCCCTCAGAAATAGATGTCAAAGAATGTGGCTTAGAGAGAGACACCAGCTCGTTTCTAACAGGCCTGCAACCTGATGTCTCTAGGCCTGCTACCTGCTATTTTTCTATCCCCGAAGCCTGGTTTCCTTGGATCCCACTGCCGACCAGTTTCTTTGTGACCACGATTCCTTACATGTTTTCAGTTCCCACCAGATAAGCCTCCCTGAAGGAAAACTGATGCTGTGCGAGGGACAGAAGCCCCGACTTCCCCATCAGCCCTTTCTGGATTCCTGGTGGGACTTCAGGCCAGTCGCTCCTGTCTCTGGGTCTCAGTTTCCCCAATCTGTATCACAAAGGACTGACTCTTTGATCCAAGTGCCATAGTGTCTCCAGCCACAGGGGGGCAGTGGGAAGCCGTCTGAAGCTTAAGGAGGGCAGAGCTGGGTGCTGTGGTGACCGTCTCCATGGCAACAGAGGAGCCCAGGCTCCGTCTGGGGAGGCCACGCCATTTAACCTGTTTCCACCCTCCAATCTCCAGACGTCAAGAGAAAGCCTGGGCGGGGTGCCCTCCTCCCCTCAGCCCTGCACCCCC